CGCCGTGCTCGTCCTCACGCCCACGCTTGCGGGCGGTGATCTCCTCCAGGGCCCAGCGCTGCCAGACCATCTCGTCGCGGAGGTAGTCGTCCCGCGCACACCGCAGGGCGTCCTCGTCGGAGAAGCCACGCCGGGCTATCTCCTCGTACTCTACGGGGAGGCCGGGCTCCGGCTTGGGCTCGACGAGGACGAAGCGGCCGGTGGGGGAGGCGTTGTCGCCGATGCAGACGCCGGAGCTGCGGGTGCGCGCGCTGACAGGCGCCCCGGGGCTCCTGTTTGACGGGGCGGAGGTGGAGGCAGGGGAGCCGCCGGACGAGGAGGAGGACCCCCCGGTCTCCATGCGCCTCGGGGTCCAGGAGCTTCCCCAGCGGCGTGTGAAGGACGGGGGAGCGGGGTACTCGAGGCGCGGCGTGTTGCTGCCCTCGATGTACTCGAGGACGGCCTCCAACGTGCGCCCGGGCACGCCCCACCATCGACGCCGGCCGACGGCGTTGAGCCTGTCGGAGGGCTCGACGCCGTTGGTGGCCTCGAGCTGCTCGGCGTGGCGGCGGCGAAAGTAGGGCTCCCAGAGCGGGCTGTCGGGGACGTACCGTGGCCCCTCCCTCGCCGCACGCGGCAGGGACGAGCAGATGCGTGCGATCTCCGCACGCCACGCCGCGCCAGTGGGTATCGGGGGCACCGGCACGCCGCCGGCGCTGATCCTCCACGCCCCGGGTACCCGCATGTCCGGTGGGACCGGGTACTCGGCCTTGAAAAGGAGGCGAGCCTCGCTCTCGTGAAGATGGCGGCGGCCGAAGCCGTTCGCCGCCGCGCCGTCGCCTGGGAAGCGCTCGGCCATGGGTGTTGGAGACGGCGAGAGAGAGGAGAGGGAGGAACGACGACGGCGAGAGAGTACGAGTCGCCGAGTGCGCTGGGGCGCGTCTTATATAGGCCGAGGCGCCGCCCATGCGCGAGCCGCCGTGAGTACGCGTGGCGGGCGAGGGACGTGCGTCATCCGGTCTTCACTGCGCCGCCCGTGAGGCATCAATGGCGCAGGCTGACCGGCGCGGCAGCGCGGTAGCTTTGGCATTGATTCTCCGCGGGAAACGAGGCGATGAGGACGACGAAGGGGCGAGAAGAGGGTAGAGTCGCTGACGCGGCGGGCCCGCGGCTGTTTCGCGCTAAAACAGTTCGCCCCCGGCGCCCCCAGCGCGCCGGGTTCGGCCTGAGTCCGCCGGCGCTGTTTTCGGCCCAAGCCGGCGAAAATCGGGCTCCTGGGGGCGCGACTGAGCCGATTTTTCGGCGCCGGCGTAAAAAAACGCCTAGGGAGGCCTTACTGGGGGCGCGGCTGGAGATGCCCTTAGCTAGAGTAGTGGTGCTCGTCACCTGAGTTTCCTCCTGTACTTATACAGCCTAGACAGATTAATGCAAAGTGTGTTGTGTCTCATCTTTCTTCAGAGGCAATCGCCAAGAGGCGCCTCCCTCGCTCCGCTGCTTTAACTCTCTCCAAGAAATGAGAAAGGATAGAAATGAAAATAAACAAAAAGGACAAAGGGAGGGCAGGGGACGGACGTTAACGGGCTGGCCCCGAAACTAAAGTGCTCGCGGTGCAGATCTCGGCATGAGATCGAACGGCCAAAAAAATGATTGAAGGCCAATTGTAATCAGTTGACTGAAAAATAGCCAAACCGTAAAAAAAACACCCCCCAGGGCATGGGTCCCACCTCAGGCTCAGGGTTCCCCGCCGAGCTGTCACCGGAGCGGAGCCCGCGCGCCCTTGCCTATCGTTTCCCAGCCCGGTCCCCTGCGGATAAAGAAAAACGAAGCGCAGCCCCTCACAGCCACGCCTTGGTCCGTCTCTCCCCCTTGCTCTTCCTCCTCCTCCTCCTCCGGCCATACCGGCCGGAGGCACGCCGTGCGGCTGACCGTGGGGGCACGCTTGGAAACTCTGCTGCTGCGAATGAGGTGATGTACCTAACCAGGCTGGCTCCTTCACTTGTGTTTCTGCCGCCGAGGCTGCGAGAGGATGGCGCTAGCTAGAATGAGTTTCCACCTCTTGTGTTTTGCTCAATTACGCCGTGGAGATCACCGGACGGCGAGCTCCGAACGTCCGCGTGCATCTCGCCCCCCTCCTCCAGTCTGCTGGGCGCCGAAGAATGGACGCCAACAACAAATTCAGGGATGCATGCGTGCTCACCTCACCTGCCGATAGATAGATAGTAAAACTGTTTAAACAGATTTATTTATTTTTGCCAAGTGAGATAGATATGTGTGTTTTCCTTTCGTTCCAACCCGCATTACTTCAATATTAAGTACAGTACAAGTATAGCAAGCAACACTGAATGCAGAGTAGGTTTGTGTTCTACATTTTGTGCGCTTCATTTGGTTTCGAAAGCATCATTCAGAATCATGGCATCTGAATAAATCCTGACACTACTGGCCAGGTTGAGGAGCATATAGCGGTGCTACAATGCTACAAGACGGCATACAACTGACGCCGGCCTCCACTTCCAACAGCACGGGCAAGACAAGAAACAAGGGGAAAGAGCTCAACGGATCCGCCTCCACGGTAAGCACCGGATTGCACCGGAGTACTAGATAAGAATGACAAGCAGCTGTGACCACATCTCAGTTCTTGCCTGCACATTTCGAGATATAGGGCGGGGGAAAGATAGATATCCTTGGTGAATTTTGTGTGATCGACTTCTCTACTCTTTCCGTGATTTTTGTGCCCATATTGCGCCTGCTCATCTCAAACAAGTCAAGGGTTTCCTTCTTTGGGTGCTCCAGGAGGAGGAGGAGAAGCGCCAGGGCAATGGCGGCGACGCGCAGCCGCCGCCGGCGAGCACCTGCACGACGTGCGCCAAGGGGCACACGTGCCAGGCCGTGGTCAGCCGGACGCGGGAGATGCGCAGCCTGATCGACGCCAAGAAATCTCACCAGGCGCAGGCCCTGTTCGGCCACCTCGCCGACGAGGGCCACCGCCCGTCCCTGGTGACGTACACCACCCTGCTCACCGCGGTGACGAACCAGCGCGCGTTCGAGGCGATCCCTTCGCTGCTCGCCGGCATCGACGCCGCCGGGCTGCGGCCGGACGCCATCTTCTTCAACGCCCTCATCAACTCCTTCGTGGAGGCCGGGCGGATGGGCGAGGCCACCAGCACCTTCTGGAAGATGAGCCGCCACCACCCGGGCTGCCGCCCCACCATCAGCACCTTCAACACGCTCATCAAGGGCTTCGGCATCGCCGGCCGCCCCGACGAGTCGCAGCGCATCTTCGACATGATGGCCGGCGGCGACGGCGCCGGGGTCGCGTCCACGGTGAGGCCCAACCTGACCACCTACAACATCCTGGTGAAGGCGTGGTGCGACCACCGGAGGCTGGAGGAGGCGTGGGGCGTGGTGGGCCGGATGCGGGCGCGCGGCGTGGAGCCCGACGTCGTCACCTACAACACCGTCGCCAGCGCCTACGCCAAGAACGACGAGACGTGGCGGGCGGAGGAGCTGGTGGTGGAGATGGTGCGCGCCAGGCTGCGCACCAGCGAGCGCACCTGGGGAATCATCGTCGGCGGATACTGCCGGGAGGGCAGGCTGGAGGAGGCGCTCCGCTGCGTCCGCCAGATGAAGGACGCCGGCGTCCTCCCCAACGTCATCGTCTTCAACACCCTCCTCAAGGGCTTCCTCGACGCCAACGACACGGCCGCCGCCGACGACGTACGCACGTGAGCTCAGAGCGAGCTCAGAGCTCACAAAACTCGATTGATTCTTGATCTTATGATGTGCAGGTTCTCGGGCTGATGGAGCAGTTCGGCATCGAGCCGGACATCGTGACGTACAGCCACCAGCTGAACGCCTTCAGCTCGCTGGGGCACATGGCGAAGTGCAGCAAGGTGTTCGACACGATGGTAGAGGCCGGGATCGAGCCGGACCCGCAGGTGTACAGCATCCTGGCCAAGGGCCACGTCCGGGCGCAGCAGCCCGGCAAGGCGGAGGAGCTCCTGGAGCGGATGCGCCGCCTCGGCGTGCGCCCCAACGTCGTCACCTTCACCACCGTCATCAGCGGCTGGTGCAGCGTCGCCGACATGGACAACGCCGCCAGGGTGTACAAGAAGATGCGGGACGCCGGCGTGCGCCCCAACCTCCGGACGTTCGAGACGCTCATCTGGGGGTACAGCGAGCAGAAGCAGCCGTGGAAGGCCGAGGAGGTCCTCCGGATGATGCAGGAGGCCGGCGTCAGGCCGAAGCAGAGCACCTACAGCCTCGTCGCCGATGCGTGGAAGGCCGTCGGCCTGGTCAAGAACGCCAACCGCAACCTCGGTTCCCCCGACGACCGTCGTCGCCCCGCCCCCAACGCGAGCGATCACGACGAGCCGGACCGCCGTCCCGACGACGACGACGACAAGCTGCAGAGATCCGGAAGAGCCAGTGAGCAGGCAACGAGTGATCCATCATCACGTGCCAGTTTCGTGCAGGTGACAAGCGCGCTAGGGACAGGCAGGGCTGGAGACTTTGCATCGTCGGCGCCGCCGTCGTCGTCGTCGCCGTGGCGATCGTGTCAGCTCCGACTGCGATCCTCGGGGTTTTGCAGGGAGCGAAGGCAGAAGCAGGGTGGGCTGTACAGTCACAGCATCAGCTCAATCAAGATGGTCTTCCTCAGTTAAGAGGCGGCCATGTTTGCTGTTCAGCACATGTACACTACTACCTGTAAAACCCAATTCTTCCCCAAAATTTATCTCCTGACCGTAGATGCTGGTCATTTTTGTATGATTCTGCACACACATTGGTCTTCGATTCAGATGTCTCACTCTCACCATTCCACAGATCAGACTCCCCTCAAACAGCATGTGTGATCTATGATACCAACTGAATGCTATGCTCTCAATCAAACACTGATGCTGGAGAATTATTAACCAGATGGTTCCAATGCCATGAACGACCACAACAATATCTACACGATCACAACCATTATACGCTCTTATACTTGTCAAAACTAACAACATCTCAAGCAATAGATTACCAAATCAAGAGTAGCTGCAAGCAGTCTGGGTGATCATGATGGGCTTGTCGGTGAGAGAGCTCACAAGAACCGGGCATCGCACACGCTTGGCGTGTGTCACCCTGACAAGCCTGCCGATGACATACCCTCTCGTCCTCACCGCCAAGTCCACGGTGAGGGGCACGCCGTCGGTGTCGGTGAGGACGAAGGTAGCCCCGGCTCCGTAGAGCGGCGTCTTCTCGCCGTGCAGGGTCACCGATGCGACGTGCCGGCTCTTCTTCGGCTGGTAGAACTTGTCCAGCTGCAGAGCAGCAGCAGCAGCAGTAGGAGGCGGCATTAGCTACCGGAATTCTGACGGAGGAACTTCAGAAAGCGGAGTTCCTCTCTGATGCTTTTTGGCGTGCTAATTACCTGACCGCTGGCGATGGGTATCTGGGAATAGTAGAGCTGGATGGAGGTGGAAGAGACATGGATGCCGAACATGGTGGAGGGGTTGTGGACGTCAATCTCGAGCGAGCAGTTCATCGTGACGAACTTGGTCGGCACTCCGGTGCCGTCCGTCCCTTCGCCGGCGTAGAAATTCTCCACTCTCAAGCTCTGCACAGAACCAAACAAATTCTAAGGTTGTGTAATAGAGGGAGATACTGAATTTAAGGTGGCAGAGATGAAATGCACCTTGACGAGGACGCTGGGTTTATCACGGCGGGCGGCGCCCCAGACGACGAGGCAGACGAGGGTGAAGGCGAGGACGAGAACCGATAACCAGAAGGCGGCGACGCAGCTCCTGGAGAGCTCCCGCTCCTGGTCCACGCCGGCGTCCTCGGCCTCCTCCTCGTCAATCACGTCCACCTCGTGCCACCCCTTGCCGTGGCCGTGGGGGCGCTTCCGGGTGGCGGCGGCCCGGCCGCCGCCGGTGAGGTTCCCGGAGAAGCGGCTGGCAGAGGAGGCCCTGGAGTGCGGGCCGATGGAGGACTGGTGCGACGGGGAGTCGAGGGGGCTGTTGTACACGGGGGTGGCCTGCGTGGACGAGGACTTGTCGCCGTCGTCCCGCGAGTCGCGCGACGGGCTGACGACGTAGTAGGCCGCCCGCTTCGGGGACCGCGACGGCGACGTGGTCGCCAGGCTCGTCACGTCCGAGTCCGACGTCGTGTGCTTCATCGTCCCGTCGCGCGGCGGTGCCACCAGGAGGAAGGATTTGATTTCTTGGAGAAGCTCACTGGCCTGAAACGCTTGTGGAGCAATGAGATCTTGGAGGGCAATAATCATCTGAAGATTGCAAGTTTGACGCTCGCTTATATGGGAAGAAAAGGGAAAACGTGAACGCTTTTGGTAAGAATTGCAATAATTGAAGGCAAAATTTTGACGCGCTATAATTGAAGAGAAATTAAGAGTGAACATTGATTGAGAGCGGGACAAAATTATAATCTCGTAGACCAGGATTGTTTGGGAATTATTAACGTAGCACGTCGATGAAATCATAATCCCGCGCAATTGCGTCAGCATGTCAGCAAAGAAGAAAGAAGAGAATTGATCATCAGTTGTCAATGGACCAACTTCTCTGTAGCGCACGAATCAAATCGATGAGTTACGTAATCGGTTGGTTTCGACCGCGATCCCAGCCGGCAGCCGCGACCGGACCGCCGGAGAAGTATTTTTCTGAAGAAAGAAAACGAGACGCGGGCAAGATATCGATGATCTCATGCATGATCTGACGTCCGCCCCGCCCCGCCCCGCCCCGCCCCAAAGAGAAGAAGAAAGAGGGAAGGAGAAGATGAAACGGCCGGTACGGTGGTCGCTTGGATGAGGAATGATGATCGAATCATTCGACCTCTCTCCTCCAAGAAGGAAGAAACAAGAGGAGGGGAGAGAGAAAGAGATTGGCGGGAGCACTCGCCTGTTCTTCGCCCACGCAGACGCCGATGGAAGCGGGCGGCGCGCGGAGGGAGGCTGCAGTGACGCGCGAGGAGCTCGGGCTGGGTCTGGGGCTCGAAACGGCTCGTCAAGTGGCGCCGCGTGCTCCTGCATGCTCCCTCCCCCTTTGACGCATGCAGCTGTTCGAGGGAGGGAGGGAGGGAACGCTGCTTGCTTGACCAGGCGCCCTTACACGTGGGCCCCGCCCGCCTGTCAGCCCCGGAGCGTGGAAGACAGCTGCTTCTCCTATCTCTCACTCTGTACAAGACGGTGATATCAGCTGGGTCCGAAGCGGTCGATCGAGCGGTCCGTGCCGTAATGCGAAACAAACTGCAGACGGACGGTCAAGGAAACGTGGGGGGTTCGCCGAGCCCGGGAAGCAGCGTCCACGTCTCGTCGCCACCATACACGGTACGCCTACACATACCCTAGTATAGCAGAGAAGAAAACCATGCCATGTACCGCCGGTCAAGGATCAATGTATGTATGTACGTACGAACGTTCTTGGCTCTCGCGACGTGCCCAACCGCCCACTCGGTCCATCTGCCGCAGCTACTCCCTCCGTTCCTATTAGTTGTCGCTTAAACGGATGTATATCTAGCACTGAAATACATCTAGATACATCCATTTTAAAGACAATTAATATGGAATGGAGGGAGTACATCTTAATAATGGATCCATCCTTCGTGCAGTGCAGTCCATCACGCATTCACGCGTGTCGCCCGGTAGGGGATCGCGACCTGTCAAAGGATCAGACGGTGTACAACGGACACCTCAGTGAGGATACCACAGTGCTGCCGGATCCCAAAATGTGAAATGGGGTACTCCTCTCCTCACTCGGGCCATCGTCCACTATCCTGTGCGTGCGCGTTCAATGCTCCAGCCATCCGTTGAGCGGCCATGATGATACGCTGCCGCTGGGCTGCATTTCCTCGACCAAGGAAACCGGCCGGGCATACTATACATAGCACGGCATCGGCATCGACACAAGATAACAACTCCAGCCCGAATACATGGCACCGGCATCGGCATCCCAGTAAGAAATCAAACTTATTGACCTTTCTTTCTCGTCGAATGTTCACCGATCGAAAACAACAGATTTCAATATGATCCCCAAACAGAAAACATCTTGTCGTGCTTCACTTCTTCATATCCTGATCATCATCAGACAACCGGAGTCAGCAGCGGCTTCTTCAGAACATGCGCCTCCAGGTTGCCCAGGACCAGGTCCGCCATGGCCTGGCGCGTCTCGTGCGTCCCGCTCCCCACGTGGGGCACCAGCACGACGTTGTCGAGCGTGAACAGCGCCTCGGGCACGTTGGGCTCGTCCTCGAACACGTCGAGGCCCGCCCCGCCGAGGCGCCCCTCGACGAGCGCCGAGACCAGCTCGGGCTCGTCAACGTGAGGGCCGCGCCCAATGTTGATGAGCAGGCCCTTGGGCCCCAGCGCCTCAATGACCTCACGGTTGACGATGTGCCGGGTCTGCTCGTTCAGCGGGCAGGCCACCACAAGGATGTCGCTGTTTGCCGCCAGTTCGACCACGCTCGGGTAATAGGTGTAGCTGGGGTAGTCTTTCTTTGTTCTCTGGTAGTAGTTGACTGGGCAATCAAAGGCCTCCACTCGGGTGGCAATGGCAAGCCCTATCCTGCCCAGCCCGATGATGCCCACTCTCTTGCCACTGAACTGCAACAGGATAAACAAAATCTATGAGAAAAACGAGCCACAGATGTTCTACCTGCTTAAACAAGGAAATATAAGAAAGAAAGGATCCAAAACGGAATGCCGAGATTGCATGCCCCGACCACACACAAAGGTACCAGCAAGTGAAGAGGGACAGATGCAAATATCTCTGTAAATATATGAATAAACTTTGGAACTGATGGTCTTATTTATCATGGTTGATTGCATATCAGACATAACATATGATGTCTTCCGAAAACAATAGATAATGCTGAGTTCATAAACTAGACAAAAAACCCAGAGTTTGGATTACAAACTGTTAACATCTGGGAATCCCAGTAACAATCAGATGACTGGGGTGAGTAAGGGCTTATTAAGAGCATGTGCCTCTAAATTCTTCAGAACCAGATCAGCCATTGCCTTGCATGTTTCTTCTGTATCACTTCCTACATGAGGGACCAAAACAACATTATCTAAACTGAAAAGTTGCTCTGGAGCAAAGGGCTCATGCTCAAACACATCAAGGCCTGCTGCTCCAAGGCGTTTCTCAACAAGAGCAGACACAAGCTCAGGTTCATCCACATGTGCTCCACGCCCAATGTTTATGAGCACACCATCTGATCCTAGCGCATCCATGACCTTACGATTGACAATATGATGCGTCTCGGCATTAAGCGAACATGCTACAACAAGCACGTCACAATTGGCTGCCAGGTCAACAACATTCGTAAAGAACTTGTAGTTTGGAAATGACTTCTCTGATCTTGAGTGGTAACTGATTGAGCAACCAAATGCTTCAGCTCTTTTTGCTATGGCTAAGCCTATCCTGCCAAGCCCAAGAATGGCAACTCTTTTACCACTGAACTGCAGAGAAGTAACGAGAGTCGGTTATCTTTTGCTCTTTGGGGAAACCAAATCTACTATTAGGATCACATGCACCCCCAACCTTTATATCTACCACAAAACAGTAACCAGCATCGTCAGCTATTTCATGCTTTCATAGGACAGCCGTTAGGCTGATATCTCATCATTATAATCAGTAGCAGATCAATCTTGCAAAGGACATTCTCTCCTTGAGATAGCTGCATCTGAACTCTTTTGTTTTTCAAATGCAGGTGCTACCCCCAGCCTCCACATCCATTGATGCGCGCAGCCAAAAGTGCACCTGAATGTGTTGCATTGTTTAACAGGAATCCACTCGCACTGAAGATGTCCTTCAATGTTTTAAGGGAGCAGGAAAATGGCACGGTGACAGGAGCATATTGCACCATACAGTTCATGAAAAGTTCTGGTGGGTATTATCATGGAACCCTTGGTTGGTATGATGCATAAACTATCTACTTAGCCATAAAACACTGGAGAACATGACAAAACATGTCGCTATCAAGAATAACGAGTCGACGAGTCAAGCCAAGGTTGAGACTCATAGACTAATCATGACTGGTCTAGGCTAATGCTGGACTAGTCGACATGGTACTGTAGTACTCAACTACTAACACATAGTACAGTATACAATAAAAATTGAATGCATGGTTAGTGGATGAAGAACCTGAGGCTCTGCCAATTGTAGTAGCTATTCATCAGGAAGTGGATGAAGTAATCAACTGTTCACCTATCTCTACCTACTAATAAACCAGCGATCGCTTCTGGTCGTACGTCGTTAGCATTTTTGCAGAAAAGTCCCTAAGATTTGTGATAATCGAACCCGCAGTTTTCGTCATACCTCAGCCCGAACCGGTACGGCGGAGAAAAAAAAATAGCCCGGCCACCCGCACGACCCTGCCTCCCAATCCCATCTTCTGCAGCGCGCCGCCACCTCCTGCCCAGCCCAGCCTCACCGCGCGCCGCCGGCCACCCCCGCCGCCGAGCCGCCGTTCGTCGCCAGCACCCGCGGATCAGGCCGCCGTTCGTCCCCAGCACCCGCGCATCCGGCCGCCCCTCGCCTTCCCTGTCGGCTGCATCTCCCAGCGCCGCCGCCCCTGCGAAGCTCCGCCACTGGAGGATCTCCTCCACCTGGATCCACATCCCCATGCCCAGAACGGGTCTTCCTCGAGCCCCCCCCCCCAACATGCTCCATATTGTTCTCATCCACGCTGCTGCTGGTGGAGTTGGGGCACGCCGGCGCTCCTGCCTCCCTGTTCCCTCCCATCCCTCCTACCACAGTCGGGGCTCTAGCCGCCCTCTTCTCGCCCCGTACCCCTCTTCCTCCATGTTCCTTCCCAACCCTTCTCCCGCAGGCTCCAACCGTGGTGGTGGGGGGCGAGCAGCTGCCGTCCGGTGGCCTGGGAAGTGAGGAGGGCGCCGGTCTAAAGCACGAGAGCTCGACGCTTGGCGACAGTACAGATCAGTTACAGCGGTGGCGATGGCCCAAAGGCAAAAGGGGATGGCTGCATGATGATCTTGTTCTGATCAATTCTGAAATAGGAATGGGGGACTACCGTGGTGGTCGCTGTTGAGGATGCTGGGTTACCTGACAGTAGGTATGCTATTTCAGAATTATTGGTTGGACGTACAGTCTCAAAGTCTCAACCTAGCAAGAACACTTTCATGCTGATACATTTTTTTGTCTGAAAAAATATGTAGTCCTTTTTGTCTTGGAACAATATAAATTCTGGAGCATGAACTGAAGAGAGGATACTTAAACATGTATGTGCTGAAAGGCAAATTACTTTGGAAGTTTATTGTAACTGGTATACAGTTTTGGCAGTAAAAGCGCGAGCGCCGTGAGGGATGCCAAGCAAGTTCCTGCTACGTAAAAAAAGGTTTCAAAATTTTTGTTTCTTAAGTCACCTCAAAGAGATGTGTGTTTTATACTTCTTTTTGTAGAAGGATGTGCTCAACGACACATCAAATTATTAACATGAGCTTTATGTAGATGATTTTGATTTATAAGTTGTTCAAAAATAATACTGACTGCAGTTGTCTTACTCCAGATCGTGAAGAAATACACTTTGTCTTATGAGATCAGCCTGATTGTCATCAAAAGCAAATGTCCCTAAACAAGCAATATGCATTTATGTGCTCTGACATCTTCGTGTTACTTTTAGTGGAAAGCAGTACAAAGTGCAAATTTCACATGCCAATACTAATTATTCACCTAGCTTATGCAAATTATCCAGCATTTTCCGTTCAGATATGATCTGCTGCAAACACCATAAGTCACCACTCACCAGCACATGACCGTTCCCTCTAGAACTTTGACCGTCGTGTCATTTGATTGAGAAAGAACAAGGTGGCCGAGCGACAAACTGAACAATGTCGGAAAGCTGCAACAAACGAGTGGTGGCAGCGCATACGCTTGTTGAACTGTGGAGGCACCCATGCGCGTGCATATTTTTTCTAGCAATTCAACGTTTTATTCTCTTAATAGAACCTCAATAATCCACATTCCAAAAGTTTCACATTTACTTGCCTATGAAGATATTCTTTCTACCTTTAATAAACCAAAAGATGACTGGTTTTTCTTCTATCACATTTACTAATTCTTTCACTTTTTAGTTTTGCTTTAGAGACTAAGCTTAAAATTTTCTGACACAATTATCTCTAAAGTCTGGGCCAATCTTATTTTTCTAATTTTTGACATAGTGATATATTTTAAGACAACGGCTGGTCAACTTATCTTCTTTATATGTGATCCTGAGCTGATTTGAAGGTCCCATTTTTCTTGAGTGGCAGGCTGGTGAGCAGGACGAGGACCATAGTCCAGGGAGTGTTTGATTTCAAGAGGGATCATTGGGATTGGGGACGAGTTCATAACCATGTTCCTGTCAAGTTTTAGCAATATGGTCCAGAGAGTGGTAATTACTTGGTTAAACAAACATCTTCCAGTCTTGATATGCCTTTTCACTTTTGATTATTTGTGAGAACTTTTAGTACGTGTCCTTGTCAACGCTAGAACTACTGACAACTTTGAAGCAAAATTATTCAGAGAAATTGTTCCATGGAAGAAGTTAAACGAAGATGCTATGATGCTATTATTCATTGATTGTTTGCGAGATACAGAGATAGATATATTGAAGTTTGTAATGGCTAATGGCCAAACATATGAACCTGTTCTTGATACTCCTTTTCCCTTTTCTTAATATCATCACATAAAAATTAGAAGCTTTCTAACATATGCATATTTCAGGTTTCAGAAGAGGTAGAGAAAGCGATGTTCAGACAATTTAGTGCAGAAGCAACACCTCCAAGATGAGAAAAATGTTTCTATTTAGCCTTCTTTGCTAGCTGTGTTCCTCTGTTTTTTTTTACTGAAGTTGGTTGCCAGATTAATGCATAGTAGGTGAGTGCTTCAGGCTGTAGATTTGGCTCGCTTCCTGAGTACCTCCTGTCTCATGTGGTTAGAGCTATGCGAGTAATTATGAAGGCTTGATCACCAGGAAACATCCATGTCAATTATGTGTTCGCTGAATTTCCTTAAGCATATGGGATTCAGTTGTTTGATGAATTGCCCCCAAAAGGTTTTGATGAATTTCCTTAAGTAGGCTTCTTTTCATAATTAATATCAATAGATCTTGCTTTATCAGTACACGTGAATGTAAGGATCTGTACTATTAGTTGATGGTTTGGCAAGTAATGTAAATCTTCCAATTGACGATTCTCTAGGATTCTGAAGTCTAAGTTTCTCTCTTTCCATCCCTGTAGGGTTATCCTGGTTTTGTTAGCATCATAACTCTCAGTGAATATAAGTCCATTGTTTCCTTTTTATTGGTATGTGAGAAAAGTGGATGTGCATGCCTCCAGTCAAACAAAGACTGAATCTTACTGTAAAGCAAATTCAAACCCATTGAGACTAGCTTTTCCAAGACTTAAATTATTGAGAGTGTCACTTTTATACATCATGATTGGTGCTACAGTTATACTTAACATACAAAAGCATTCATATCTTGCTGGAAGCTGTGCTTCTCTGCTTCATACATGTTTTTTGATGTGCAATGCTGCCACTTACTACATTGCCTGCCACATGCTCCGACGGATGGCTCAGTTATGTAGCGAAATAGCGTGCTTTGAAAAAAAATTTACGAGTTTTGTTATTTTCACACGGATGGGTTCATAGATTAAGGTTGCCTATTTTGTTTTTGTATTGTCATGGCCACAAAACTGCTATTAGTTACTTACACATTTAAACTCATATCTACAAATATGCGCATAGATTAAGTACTCATAGCGTACATTACTTGGAGAAGGAACTGCCTTCCAAGCTAAACGATTTCTATCTTACAGACATAAAAAAAATCTTCAACCCTCATTGTATATAATATATTATAAATCTTCAAACTGTATAATTATTTTGCAGGGTAACTCTCATTGTATAATATATTATATTTCCTCAACCTCAATGTATAATAAAATTATAATCTTCATGTTCTGTAATGTTTTTTTAGAGCGCGTGAAATGCGTGCCATATTTTTATAGAAGGATAATGGTTGATAATCCATATTTTGTGCACTTATATTTGGTTTGATTTTATTGTTGAGATACAAGTACACTATAAACCTAACTATAGGTACTAAACATAGCCCATGCTTGATTATAGTACCGCTGTATGCTTTCTAGGTGACAGCCTAACCCATGCTTGATTATTAACACACATTATTGCTATTGAAAGCTATATTAAATCCTAAATTTGACTCTTCTGATATTGAAATGAAGGTGAGGTATGTCATCTTCCTTTGGCAGAAGAAATTATGTTTCAGTTTTGATTTTATTTTTTAATGTTCTATATGTATTTTTATTCTTATGCTTGATTTTTTTTTAAATCCTATAGGAGATGCTTATATCTTTAACTTAATCGACAAATTGAAGAATGCATTCATTTCTAAGCCGTTTTGCAAAGGTTGGCTAGCTGAAATCACAATTCTCCTTCATGTTATTCCTCGACACACATTCCCATCGCTATGCATATTGGATTGGGGTGTCATTTATTTTCTCCCGTTGCAACGCACGGGCCTTTTTGCTAGTCTTTCCCAAATTTCCCTAAAAAAAACTTGTCCCTCCCAAATTGAGTCGATCGACTCAAAAACCTAGACTAGTCTGGACTAGTCGAGGACTAGTCGCTCCACCGCTCAACTCAATAAGCTAGTCTACACGAAGAAGCTAGTCGACAATCTCATAATTCATGGTTGCTATAAGAATCCTATTTGTGCTACTATGAAGCAATGGTCAGGGAGGAACAAATCATGGTTTCCAACGTTTTCTGATCATCCATCAGCCTTGGTATTAATACGATTCCAAGTGACGGGCTGACGGCACAATATGGAGATATGCTACAACATAAAACCTCCAGAGCCATGTGAATATGTCAAAAAAGAACCAAAAAATCCCTAACCTAGTAAGAAACTGATATTAAATAAGAGAAGATAGGAACCACATCACCATATGTGAGCCATCCTAAATCAGAATGCTCACTAGATTTCTAGAAAAAACCTGCGGCTACAGCACTATAACTATGTGATTCCTCCACATCTTATATTTAAGTTTTTGGACACCAGCATACAGCTTGAATCAGCAATGAAGAAGGTCAACATTTTACAGTCAGGTAGTACAAATTTTGATCTAATAGGATGCATTTCACCGCTGAGCAGTGGTGAGCAGTCTTTTAAGAGACTGTCATAGATTGCAACCTAAGCTACTGCAAATGCCTTCGAACCACGGCTTCCTCAAATGATATGACTGACATGGCATAAACTAAGGATAGTCGCAACCTAAGCTACTGCAAATGCCTTTGAACCACTACTCTCTCAAATGATATGACTGACATGGCATAAACTAAGGATAGTCGCAACCTAAGCTACTGCAAATGACTTTGAACCACTACTTCCCCATTGATATGACTCACATGGTAAAGAGAGGCAAATGTACTAAGTTACTAACTACCAACAATATTTTAGGAAGATAACCAATGATGTGCCAAAAAAAAAAAACTGACAAGGATCCAATAAAGTTCAACTGTTTCTCCTTTCTACCTGTACTAGATTTTGCTCTCTGCAATTTAACATCTCTGTATTGCCTATTTCCCTTTCGTGCATTCATATTCGCTGAATGCCCACTGTTGTGTTATAGTTCCTTTTCCAACCAAGTTATTGCCGTATTCATTTTGACAGAACCGATACCAAGTATACACACTTTACGATTAAACCAAAGACACCAAAGCACTAAGAGCGCACTGAATTATTGGACTGGAAAATATAAACGGAAGTCAATGGGCAAGCATCGGAAACCAACCCGCGTGGTGAGTGTGTAGTCCCCCTTGGCCTTCCACAGGCCGGCGCGCACGTAGCGGTCGGCCTGCGGGATCTTCCTCAGCGCGGCGATGGCGAGGCCGACGGCGAGGTCGGCGACGTCGTCGGTGAGGACGTCGGGGGTGTTGGTGACGCGGATCCCGCGCTCGCGGCACTTGGGGAGGTCGACGCGGTCGATCCCCACGGAGAAGGAGGCGACGATCTCGAGCGACGGCAGCGCGTCGATGAGCGCGGCGTCGGCGTTGTAGCTGGCGTTGCCGACGACGGCGCGGATGGCGGAGGCGTTGGCGCGGAGGAACTCGGCGCGGCCGTCGGGAGGGGAGTCCCAGAAGCGGAAGAGGCGGAAGCGGCGGTCGAGCTCCTGCTCCAGGTAGGCGTTCATGGGGTGCAGCAGCAGCACGCCCAGGGACTCCATCGCCATGGCCGCCGGGGGCACCGAGGGCGGCAGCGGCAGCGGCTGGCTGTTGTGTGGTGGTGGGTGGGCTGCTCCGCGGTGGCTACTGGTGGGGATATGCTGATGCTCGACGCCGGCCTTGTTTGCTAGCGTCTTATCCTCTATGGGCCGCAGGTTGCAGTCCAGCCGGACAAGGACGGGCGGCCTACTGAGTTCGAGGGATGATGGTTGAGTCAGCCAACCCTAATTTTCAATTACCTAAAAAAAATGTCTCAAAAAAATACCTAAAAAAACTAATTTTTTCTCCATGTGAACATGATGACGAATGAATAAAAGCTTCACGAGATTGCCTAAAAAAAGATAGGTAGGTATACTTTTTTTTATCTAAAGAAGCAGATGTTTCTGTTAGATCGACCTAATTTTTAAGAGTTTATGTCGCTCTAGTGGATCCTATCTAACGTAGTCTTGACCTCAACCCGTCTCTCTTATGTCCATCTACTCGGCTGGTTAAAAAACAACAAGCATGATTACTCAGCGTTGATGCAATCCTAGATCGATGAAAGTGATTTTAGAGACGAGTGTCGCCCACAAAGCACAAGCCCACCTATTTTCACCATGACTTGATACAACAAAGGTCAAGACCTCATTCGGGGTTGGTCTCACACGAAAAAGACGATCTCCGTGCCTTGTACAAACTCTTAATTCTTCCACGACACTTGAAGGTTCATCGCTTAGAGGCGCACACCCTGCAAGAGTGAGAAGCAAAGCAAAGTCACAAGGATGAACTTCTTAAAAGATTTTCAATCAAACTTTCCCATGAACTCATAGAATCTCTCCCTCACAAGATAAGCTTGAAGCAGAGCGAGACTGAGCACAAAGATAGGTTCAAGAATGGGAGGGGGGTGGCCTTCAAAATATACAAGGTTCTGCTCTCTATGATCTAAAATTTCACTCAAAAATTAGCTCACAACAATTCTACGTGGTGAGAGAGTCTGTTTACAGAGACAACATTTTGTTTGCTCTGGAAAAGGCAACCGGCCCGAAAGTGACAGAGAACAATCCTTTGGTACTACCGATAGGGTCCAAAATTTGAATGGTCGAAATTCAGAAAGGAAACACATGCTCCCGAAAGTAGCAATATGCCGCGGAGATGAACATAGAAACTTATCTGTAATTACCATCTCAAGGGATTAATGCCCATGAGTATAAAAAGACATAGCATTTGACAGCAAATTAAGAAATGTGTAACTAAAGGATGATATGTAGCATAGTAAAAAGTACATTATCTTCAGTTAGACATGATCGATTCATCTCTTTGGCATTGTCAAGAGAAGATAAACACTCATCTCATTTTCTCTCTTCATACATGAATAGAAGGTTGTCCTGTTGTCATGATATCTATGGCAGATAATTAGCGGAAGCAATCGTCTGTCACAAGTATTGCAAAAATAAACTATGAGGACATCTTGCTATGAAGTTATGCACAGATTACAATAGTTTCTGAACCAAGGCAAAGCCCCATCAGGAAAACACATGTGAGCAACTCCTACAGAAAAAGCAACTGAAAGCACGAGCTGTGCCAATGATGTACAGACTACAGCTAAATCTCCACGACAGGGCAAGAACCTCTCCTACTTCCCATCTTTCTCTGGTCAGTCTACCAGCATTTCGAAAACAGCCTCCTCAATGAGCGAGGACAGAACGTCCTCCCCGGCATCCCTTACCCAGCACTCCGTTTCCTCCATGCAGATCCAGTCCTGCCACCCCATGTCCCATGCGCTGTTGATCGACGGGTCTGCGCATCCGAGATCCCTCTCCAGCTTCATGGACATGCTGTCTTTGGTGCCACTGCCATGGTCGTCTTTGTCGTCGGTGTAGCTCTTCAGCTTCCGAGTCCCATCGCCGATATCACCTAGCAATGCCTCCAGGGAGAAGTATGGTGTTGCTCCGCATTTCTGGGTCCTGTATCCAGTGTAATATAGGCTGTTCTGCTGACGATGTTTTCGTTCCAGCTGCTCCATTGCTATGTCCACGTAGAGTTCATGGTCTCCCATTTCAGCCTTGCCGGTATCCTTGTATTGCTCGATCAGATGGTCGTAATCGTATGCGTCAGTGCCTATGAGCTGTGCTGCTTGGTTAACGAATGACTTGCTGCTTAGGAGAAACAAACTCATCTCATCTTTTATTTCAACTTCCTTTTTTGGTGTTATGTTTATTGGTGGGCTGCTTTGGCTGGAAATCAGTGAAGCTTCACTGGGCCCGCTAAAATCTTCATGGGCATCTGCCATGAAAAGGAATTGTTAGTGCCAGAACTTCTTCTCTTTTTTGCAAGGGAGAGAATTCTTCTCTCATCAAGAAATATTAATATGTAACCCACAAACAAAATCATGGTAATCCTTTTTAATAAATGGCTGTGTGCATCGGAATGATGCATAGGCCGGGGGTAATCCTCCTTTTCTAAAAAAACAAACAAAACCATGGCACTCCCTTGGTTGCTAAATATAGGCCATCCTAGAAACCGTGCAGTCAAATATTCTTAAATTAGAGCATAAAATTGTAAGATTGTGTACGTGAATTCAGTATCACCAAATTTGCTAATTGCTATGTGAAACCTTTTCTCAAAACCATAAAATAACACAAATCAGCAGTAGATGTAGCACTTCGTGTGAACCATTTTCATTGTAAACCCGAACCAAGGCACCTGGAAGTAAACTGTAATTCCTTTCTGGCCAGTTCATTCACATACCAGCAGTAGATTGGACTTAACTATTGGATATTTGGATGTCATTCCTACTTTTGGCCTTTTGATAACAGTGATATAAATAAAACCGATGAAAGTTTGGTGATTATTACCATCGATGGAAGGTTCTGTGTCCCAATCAGCACTCTGGCAGCTTTCATCACTAGGTGTCGCACTATGTTCTGTGGATGGACAATCAGTTCGGATGAACTCTCTGTGCACCTCATATGCCTGCATTGTGAGCAAAAAAGGTCCAAGGACATAAGTGTTTGAACCAACCATTTCATTCAAGGTACGCCTGATTTAACTGAAAAGCTTTAAATCAAATATTTGAATAGCTTTCAAAGAATACTTAATTTACAAATCTGGAGATTTCGATTTCAAAAGGTTCTCGCTTTGTGGTCATTCTTTTACCAGCTTCAAGGTAGTTTCGTGTCTCAGATAGTATGAAAGATTTTCAGGCTATGCTTATAGTGAAGGATGCTTACCACAATGTCATCAATAGTTGAGTTGTTGACATTTCTACTTGACACTATCTTCTCTCTGGAACTACCAGGTGTTCTTCGTAAGATTGGCTTCATTGTACGGCATGTTGAAGGATTGCTACTTGATGCAACCGATTTCTTATCAGTTTTTCTCACTAGTTTACTGTGAGAAGCTGATGCTGCCGTAGCCTTCACATCCTTCCTCCTTTCTCCCTTCCTATCAGGCAAATGATATTTCTGTTTATTGCTGCTTCTATTGCTGATCTCAGTTTTTTGTTCTATGCGCTGCTTTCGAGTTATATGAGATACAACCTTCACATCCTTGGGGGATTTGGTTTGAGCTTGGCCCATCCTTTGTTCTCTTTGGATTGATTTCGCTGAACCAACTTCAGTAGCCGCAGAGGTATCTTGCGAAGGAAGGGTGTCCTCATGAAAATAAGGAAAATTCATCTGAACATTGCACTGCTGGACCTTGTGCACATCAGAATTCATGGTATTTAAAAGCCTCTTGACTTGAATTGTCTTCATCATCTCTTGCCCTGCCTTCCCATTACGCTGAGAGTCCTTTCCTAATGATTGCCTTGGTAGCTTTTCTGCCGGTGGTGGTTTTGACTTAGGCATGTCAATATCAAACTGTGCCCTTGGTGAACTTACTGTCTTGAGTGTCTCGTCTTTCTTGGCGGTATTTCCCTTGTGTGGGGGCAAACCTTCAAGGCCCATGAGCCTTGCTACCAAACTCGGCTTTTTATTTGTTGGTACCAAACTTGGGGTTTTGGACTTGTCAGGTTGCACAGGTGGACAGGATGATGATCTTGGCACCACCTTCTTCTCCTTAGTAGACTTGGATACGGCGGTACTGTTTGGCGTGCTCCGTGATGACTGACTCAAGGAGGCCAGCTGCTCACCATTGGAGGCCACTGACAAGAGTTTCGCCCTGTAAAGGCTGTCCTTGATCACTCTCTTCAGCTCGTCGGTAGAATTCCTTAGTTGCCCATCAAATCTACTGCTGACACTTCCAGGGACCAGCTTCTTGGCGATTGATGCTTCGAAGAGTGCTTCACGGATTCCAGTGACGTCCAATGATTCCTCGTCGTTCCCTGGCCTTCTCTGCTTAGTCGATTGCCGCATGCTCTGTGACACTGTTTGGAACTTCTCAAGCATGACAAGGGAGTCCTGGAGGTCCATAGCGCCTCTTAGGAGGTCCTCGGCAAAATGCCTCGAGAGTGTGGAACCCATCACGTAATCTCTTTGCGACAAGATGGACCTCTCCTCCCGGTTACTTTGCGAGGGGCGCCAATCCTGGCTTTGGCAGCTCCGGCAGACTGTGGGTTGCAGTGTGACAACATAAGGGGCATCACACTGAGTTCTTTCAAGGTAGCTGCCATCTTTGCTCCTGGAGCTGGAGGGGTGACTCTTTGAAAGGGACCTGCAAACCACTGATCTGAAACTGTCTTGAGGCATTCTGTTTTTCTGAAAGAAACAAACAGAGGGACGAATAAGCACACTAAAATGGTCAGACGATATATCATACACAAATTCAAGTGGGCAAACATAATTTCCTGGTCAAAAGAAAGAAAGAAAGCTACTTACATTATCTTGACTCTTCCCTATAACATATGAAACATATACCAATTTAAGAACTTATTTTCTTTAGGACTCGATGCCTGTCTTGACTGTGGACTCGAGATCCTGGATAGGAACAAAGAGGAACCTATGAATCAGTACAACTCAGAAGAAAGAAACATATAAAAATTATGAGCTTTTGGCTGTATATATATACTACGATATCTTCCAAGTTTCTC